AGAGGCCGATCCCACAGCTCTCAAATCCCCCCCTTTCTTGTCACAGGTAAAGAAAACACCGGAATCCTCACATGCATTTTCGGCAGCTTTCAAAACTGCTTGAAAAAACCTGAGAGTTTTCCCAGAAGCTGCCAGGGGAGTCACCAGCTGCCCTAGTCTCTGGTGGCTGCCCCCAGGGCTTCTCTCTGCAGGTGGGCCGAGGGTCCCAGGTGTCCCAGCCCCTGCCCTGAAGCCCACGGAGCCGCCCAGGCCCCACCGCCAGGCTGCGGAGGCCTCCAATCTCCTATCTTCATAAAACACAGTAATTTGCTTTTAATGAGAGCCGGTGTTTTCGTTCCCAGTTCTGCTCCCGCTGATAACGTGTGGGAGGCCTTCCCAGCAGGTTAAACCACTGTGACCTTCATAATCAGAGAACAGAAACAAATTATATTTACTCATAAATGTTACCGAGTCTCCAGGGCCCAGCTGCCTCCTATCGCAGATGCTGTGATAATATCCCACTTTTATCAGGCCTCCGGAGGGCAGGTAACAAAGTACTTTATTATTCCACCTGGAAAGGCAGGTAGGGAGCCCGCAGGCTGGAGGCCCTTCCCACTGAGGCGTCCACCACAGGGAGCGCTCAGGAGGCAGGTGAGAAACAGGACTCCCTGCCAGTCGCCCCCTTGGGTGCCCTGAGAGCCCAGAGCCTTCAGAACTGGTTGGAGAGGAGGGTAGGCAGGCTCCTGGCTTCCCTGAGTCTTGACTGAACAGATGCTGTGCAGTGAGTGACATGGGACCCTCTGCCCACCCTCAGGGGACAAGTCAGAGGCCTGGCTCCCCTTGACCCGGCCGCATCTGATCTCCAGGGGAGGCAGCGAGATTATTCTCTACTGACTGTCCCACGGGGATCCGTGCCTCACACACTTCCCTACCCCTCGGGGAGCTTCCGTTTCCCTGCAAGATTCTCAGCTCAGCCAGGCACCAGCAATGGGAGGCCACCCGGGAGGGGCTGGGGCCGCTGGTGTCTAAGAAAGTGCAGCCTCTGGATTCCTCCAGGCCCTGCAGTAAAGCAGCCCACTGTGGGGAACAAGGCCAGGGAGGGGCGGCCCCAGAAGGCAATGAGGGCAGAATGGGATTCCTCCCTCCACACTCCCGACAACACAGCCAAGGCTCAGGGCTGGGCAGGCGGGACACTGTTCAGGACAGACTCCTGCCCCTGCAGAGCTGCGCCAACAGGGCGAGGCTCCCGGTTCATTCTCACACAGGCCCAGCTCCCAAAGTCCACCTAGACTGAGGATCCTCTATTTCCCAGTTCTGGGAGAATTTTCAGCGGTGTGTGAGGAGCACCAGTGTCCAGGCCCGGGCAGGACAGCAGGGCCGGGCCGGGTGGACATCCCCAGCCCTCTGCTGGCCCAGCCCCTGCGGTCCCTCGCCCTCGAGGCCTCTGTGGCTGATTAGTCCCACAGCCGCTAAAGTGGAAACGCAGACGCCGTCTGGCCTATTAAACCTGATTGAGGAAACAGAGGGGGCTTTCAAATTCGATGGTCCATTTGAGTCGAGAAGCACAAGGGCGCTTACGACGCCTGCGTGGTCCTCACCCGCCAGCCGGCCTCACGGAAATGTGCTTCAACGCTAATCGGAAGTCGGAGGGCAGGGATCAAATAAATCTCAAATAATCACGTTGTATTTCTGAGGGCTGAAATAGGTGTGTTTTATGCCCCAGCCATGTGAGTCAGCATCGCGGCCCTTGGTGAGCCCAGGACAAGCACTTACTCCGGAAGCTGTGGTTACAGTGTATCATTTCTGCATCTGCTCTGATAACCACACCCCTGGGCACATCTGCACAGTCGGCTCCAGGAAAACACAGGTCTGGTTGAGGCTGGAGAAACAAAGTAACAACCACACTAGACCTAACCTCAGCCCTCAGTGTCCACCAGGCCCCCTCCGCCCGTGACTCTGAGGTCGGGAGCTAGCCTGGCCCTCAGGGCCGCGGCTCATTCTGAGCTATTTTGCAAGCTGTGCTTTAGTTTCATTAAGGCTAGTTTTCTCAGACAGTTAAACCGCCCTGGATTATCCACCAGCTGCCAGGAGTTAGGCGGTAGATACTAAGTAGCACAAGCCCTGGGGATGACGCTCCTGCCGGGTGGGGGGGGGGCTTGAGTATAGAGACCCTCCTTCTGCTCAGGGAGAGGCAGCCAGGCTCTGCTCCCCTGGATCTTACGGGAACCTGCCTGGTGACTAACACAGCACTCGGGACTTTGAAGGACACAACTCCTTAGAGGTCGTAAACCCAGAATCAGAAGTGCCCTATTCCTGCCAGTGTTGGGCTGTCAGCAGAACTGATTAGCATGCTTTTGATCTCTTTGGCCAAGTTATTGATAAAAATATGGGGAGGCATGCCCTGGCTGGTATGGATCAGCATCATACCCCCGACAGGTAGGAGACCAGGCCACCGGCCTGGCAGGGCCGAGAAGCGGTGCTCACCGGATGCCCCCATGCCTAGCCTGGCGTTGCCTGCTGAGAACACATCCTTGCAGGTGCCAAGGCCAATGGCGGTGATTCTGGCTCCCTCATCACCACCCCACCGTCTAAACCGGCTAATTTGGTCTTTTCTGGGAAAAGCAGAGAGGGGGACAGGAATGCAGCTCACAATGGAGGAGAAACGACGGAATTAGAAAATGAGCATTGGGCAACTGCCAGGCAGTGACTGATTCTCACAGGATTGTCAGGGCTGCCTGAGCCACAGGTAAAATATTGGTGAACAGGAAACCCACATTTTGCCACATTTCCCTTGTAAAATATCCTGGACTTGTGGTGATTAATTGCCCTTAAGAATGACAAAGATGCCCTGGCTGCTGTGGCTCAGCGGTTGAGCACCATCCCATGCACCAAGAGGTCACTGGTTCGACTCCCGGTCAGGGCACATGCCCGGGTTGCGGGCTCGATCCCCAGTGGGGGCGTGCAGTAGGCAGCTGATCGATGTTTCTCTCATCAGTATTTCTTCTTTTTTGTTAATTCTCACCCGAGGATATTTTGTCCATTGGTTTTTAGAGATAGAGTGAAGGGAGAGAGGGAGGGTGGGGGGCTAGAGAGAGAGAAATATTGATGTGAGAGAGACACATCCATTGGTTGCCTGCTAAACGTGCCCTGACCAGGGCAGGGGATCGAACTCGCAACCCAGGTACATGCCCCTTGACCGGAGGTTAAACCTGAAACCCTTCTCTGTGTGGGCCAGTGCTCTGACCACCGAGTCACTGGCCAGGGCTGTAGAGGATAACTTTTAAAGAGCTTTTAACCATTTTTACTCAGACCAGAGCCGAATCCCTTCCTTCCTGGGTCTGTGTTTCACTCCTCCCTGTGGCAGGTGTCAGGTCCATGCTCTGGACACGGGGGCTGGTGGGGCAGCAGCCAGGTGAGTTGGCCACCAGGCAGACGGTCACAGGAGATGAGGAGAGGGGTGGAGAGCTGGCCCCCTGGAGCAGGAATAAAGGCAGGGACCACACTGGGGTAGCCAGTCTTCTTTGGAAACCTCACTCCACACCTGGGGGTGTGGGGTGGGAAAGCGTCGACCTGATAACCTGCAGAGGTCAGTGCCCATATATCCTTGTCTGGACACGCTCAAGGTCAAATTGCTCAGCTCCAGGAGCCCCTGGACACACGAGGCATTGTTTTCCGAGCACACAGCCCTTGGTGTTCTTGAGGTCACCTCAGAACATTCAGAGCCGTCCCCATTTCCCTTTCATCGCCTTATCAAGCAAACACCATTTCTCACCATTTATCCAGCCTCCTCAGGTAAACGTCACTTGTGAACGGGCCCTTCCCACCAGCCCTGTGAGCCCCGCGCAGGGTATGAACGTCAGGTGAGAGAAGGCACAGCTCCGTTCCCAGGCGGCATCACCTCCCAGGAGAACCCAAGTCCCACCAACCTCCTGTGACGCCCTCTGCACCCACCGTAACACAGCCCAACCCTTCAAGCTCAGACACCAGGCTCCCAGCGTGAAACCGCCTCCACAGTCACAGAACTGCTGAGCCTGGGGTTGATTCCAGACTCCCAACACCAGGTTCCAAACCTGTTTCCAGCTCCTTCCTGGGCTCCGCCATCTCGTGGTTGGAGCCGCCCTGTGTTCTGCTCTTGGCCCCCCTTCCTCACGGCACTCACCCCCCTCCAGGGTCCTTAGGCTGCATCGAGAGCTGGTGGGTCTGTGCCCCTACCCCGACCTCCACAGCTCCACGGAGCCAGATCCTGACGTTGATGAAAGCACCACCGTCCTGGGCAGCTCCCCAAACTCCCTTCCATCCCCCTCCACCTCTTCACTTATTCTATACACACATCTTGGAGACTTTTCACAACTGAAGGTGACATTTAACGCAGGTTGGCAGCACTGCAGAGAGGGAAGTGTGTCCTGAGGCTGAGAAACAATGAGGTTTGTGACTGGCGGGCAGCGGGCACAGGACACACCCTCCTTCAGACGCAGCAGGTGGGCGAGTCTCGCTGGGCACATACAGGTTCCTGGTGGGTGGCTGTCCTGCTGGATTCCTGTCACCCCACCCCAGGTCCCAGCTCAGCAGGAGCCCCGGGAGGTCCCTAAACATTGTTTAGGAAAGTGCATCATGACCTGCCATAGACGGTGTAAGTGACCAGCACACACAGGGAGGACATCCCAACGTGTCACAGCCTCAGTGGAGGGACGGGAACACCCCACAGGCACTACACACCCGACGTTGGCTCAACTCACGGTGATCGCTGACTTTCCCAGGACACTTGATTCCAGGTACTTAATCAGTTAATTAGGCACCACATTTAACTAACGGTTTCTGAACTTTTAACCAATGTGTAAGAAAAAACCATGTCTATTTCTTTGTAACGGCACCCTCTGGTGGCCCACCTTGTCTGTGAAAAACAAGCTCCGGGCACCGTGTACACACCTGCACACCCACCCAGCTTGTTACTCAGAGAACACTGTCCAGTCTCTGCCCACACAAACACACACACAAATGGTTTACAGCACAAACACAACATAACCTTGCATCAAAAACTGTATCAAAATACAATATTTTAAATACGACAGACTAGGATACGGCTCTCCTAGCTATTACAGTCAGCAGAGTAACAGGCCTTTGGGTTCAGAAAGGGCGCCCGGCAGACAACCCTCCCTACATTCTCAGCGAGGCCCTCCCCTGCAGGGCCTTGGTGGCGAGCTCGGCCCTCTCCCGCAGCACACTGGCCTCCTCGGCACTGCAGTGCGCCCGCGCACTCTTCAGCAGGAAGTGGCTGATGAAGAGCTTCAGACCCTCGCGCAGCATGCCCAGCTTTGGGTTGTCCGACACCCTGGAAAGGAATCGTACCACTGTTAGGCATGGTCATCTACCTAGGTCTCTAGGAGGCTCGGAAGGGGAGACAGAACCTAGTTTCTTTTAAAAAGAGACTTCCCACACTGGCTGGTGCGGCTCAGGCGCAGTGTCGTCCCCTACACCAAAAAGTGGAGGGCTTGATTCCTGGTCAGGGCACGTACCCAGGTCGCAGGTTCGATCCCCAGTTGGGGCACACGTGGGAGGCAACCAATCGATGTCTCTCATATCAACGTTTCTCTCTCCCCGCCCCTCTCCCTCCCTTGCCTCCTCTCTCAAATAATAAACAATAGAGAATTCTCAATGAAGAACTTAACATATCCTATTTGCTAAAAATCATTATTAGTTTGCTATTAGACAGGTTTCCTGTTCCTGAAATCTAATGTATGACACACTAGCTTAATATGAAAACAGAAAATGATTTAAGCTGCAGACAAAGTACTGTAACAGCCTTGCTCTTACGAATCGACGCCAGAGAAAATAGCTCCCTCCATCACTTCCCCACGCTGCACCGAGCCGGCTGGGAGCATACCTTGTGAAAATTAGACCAAGGTCCTCAACTTCTGTTTCCATTAACAGCATGTGTAGCACTTTCCGTAAAAAGTGGACTCTGGGTTTATCCAATTCGCTGAATTCAACCACCTAACGGAGTCAGGACAGAAAGGGGGAAAATTACATTTATTTAGCCAACTTTTTCAATAATTTCTAAATATAGTTAGAGTAAAAAAACGACCCCCCTTTAAATAAGGCGATGTCCAGGTTTATAAAATGACCAGTGCTTGCAAGGATGTGGGGCCACAAGGGTGTCCAACAGGCCTTCAACTTCTAGAACTGAGCGAGTTGGAGGTAAGATGTACTGTTTTGAGGTCCCAAATACGAACAATTCTGCCACCATTTTCACTGCTTTTAGTAATTTCATCTATTATACAAACCTTTAAAATGGAAAGTGGGAGGGATTTGGTCTTCAACAAGTGGGCCACCAGGTGCACCAGATTGGAGAAGTTGCTGGCCGGCAAGCTCTCTAAGTCTCGAAACTTGTCCCATATGCTGAACTGGAACGTCATCTACCGTAAGGGCGAAGAAGAAAAGCAGTTTAAGTGCAGGATTATCAGAATCAGCGACAGAGTCACAACCTGAAGGTCCTCTTCCTGTTCGCTCGCGGGCAGCCTCCTATAACTGAAGACCCGAGGACAACCACACCGTCCTCCTGACAGCAGCATACAGGTGCAGCCGCACGCGGGTCCCTCAAGTTGGCAGGGACGCTAGGGAAGGACAGCAGTGCTGCATGAGAGGCACTCTGCCGGTTACCAGCCGTGACAGGCCCTCCCATGACCAGAAGGTGACATGGTGGACACGGCTCCAGCTGTGCCCAGCTGCTCTCCCTGGGCCCTGACTCAGGACACCACCCGAGACGGGCCGAGCCAGAGAGAACGCCTAGAGGACAGTGGAGCGGGGACCTGCTGGCCTTCTAACCCATTACCTGGAACCTCCTCTCATAGCCGCAGAACTTGCCGGCCAGGAAGGCGTAGAAAGGGTTGTACGTCTTCTCCTGAAGGCAGCAATCCATGAGCACGTGGATGACCTCCCGCTCCTGCTGATCCTTGAGGCCAAGCCTGCAAAACACAAGCAGCAGCCTTGAGGAAATCTCCAATTTACTAAATCTCAACAGATGTAAGGCAGAGATCTTTCCAGGGCCACGCCTGTCTGGCAGTTTGGTTAAAATGCAGCCAAGCAGCCCCGGCCAGTGTGGTACACTGGAGGGTTGTGGGTTCGATTCCCAGTCAAGGGCATGTATCTGGGTTGCAGGTTCGATCCCTAGCCCTGGTTGGGGTGTGCGCAGAAGGCAACCAATCAATGTGTCTCTCTCACATCCATGTTTCTCTCTCTCCTCCCTCCCCCCCGCCACTCTCTAAGAATCAATGGAAAAATATCCTCAGGAGAGGATTAACAAAAAGACAAAAACAAAAACAAAAAGGGAGCCCAGCAGAAGAGGTGGGGTAACGAGACAGAAGCAATAGGCCCAGCCGTCCCCAGCTTCTCTGGCCAGAGAATAGTGGAGGCAACACTATTCTGAGTCCTGTGCCAGCTACAAAGGCCTGTAACTGGTTCCGAAGCAACAAGAAATAGGACAAGCACTCGACTGTGGGCCCCGAGTCAGGTTCCTGCCATCACCCCACTTCCCACAGTAAAACACTTCCTTCTAGTGTGGGGCTGAGACTGGACAAGTGGTTAGTCCTGTAAAAAATAGTTCCCTCTATTTCACTCTGAATTTGAAGCAAATGAGGAAAATTACTATCAGATATGTTTACAGTACCTTGTAAAAGTACACAGGCACTTAAAAAAAAAAAAGTCTTTATTGATTTCAGAGAGAGGAAGGGAGAGGGAGAGAGAGAGAAACATCAATGATGAGAGTTATTGATCGGCTGCCTCCTGCCCGCCCTGCACTGGGGATCAAGCCCACAACCCGGGCCTGTGCCCTGACTGGGAATTGAACCATGACCTCCTGGACCCTAGGTTGATGCTCAACTGCTCAGCCACGCCAGCCAGGTCACAGGCACTTTTGAAACCTTATTGCAACTAACTATAAAACTATAACAGGCAGTTTAAATTTAGAATTAGAAAGATATCTTTAGTCTGAAGAAATGCCAGCAGGTCAACTAACAGTTTAAATGAGCCCAGATGCTGAGTCCAGGGGAGGAACGGCCGGCCCGGCAGCCTGACCCCACACGCAGCCTCAGCTCCACTTTCTCCCTCGACATCAGTTCAACAGGGTCCAGCGTACACACAAATGCTCACTTTAGAAGCTTCTCAAATGCGTCCAGGAAATCTTCACTGGTCATAATTGTACAAAATATGTTTCTCCTGACATCGGTGTTCATCCTCTGCTTGCGGGCAAGCTCCAGCATCTTCGCGCTAACCTGTAAAGAGGGACAACAGTTCTAATAAGATCTGTGACTTTGGTTTAGTCATGGTCACTAGAGTTAGGTTTCTAAAAACATGTATATCACTTTGTGGCTTGCCCTAAGCATAACTGTAAATTACGGTACATATATGTAAATGCACCTTTATTCTTGAGCAACTCCCCAGGAATAGAATAATCCAAGAACGACAGAGCAAGCCCAGGTGGAGAACACTGCTGGATGTGGGAGGCCTCTTGTGGCCATCGGCCTCTCAGCCTGAGCCACAAGGAAATAAGACAGAGGCAAGTGGTCACAGCCAGGAGAGGCAGCACCATGAAGTGTGAAAGTGTTACAGGGAATCCTGGGATAGGAAAAGGGCATTAGGGGAAAAAAGAAACTGAGTAACATATGGACTTGTAATAAAACACAAAGTTAAGTGCACAGAATTGTGCCAATCTGAGACCCAGTTTAATGCCCAGTGGCCACATATCCTGGGAGCAATGTGCCTGTCTCAAGAGCTGGTCTGTCTGCAACAGTGTTGGTGATCTGTGCCCTCACCCAGTCAGCTTGTAACTCTTTTATGTAATGTTTTGGGACTTGAAACAAATCCTTTACAAAGTAACAACAGAAATGGAATTAAACCGCATTGCAAAACAGTAGCAATTTCTACAAGGTCCTCAAATGGTCCATGTCTGCCCATTTCAATAACATCCAAAAAAGAGTAAGGTGGCCACTCCAGGAGAGCCATAGTGAGGTGCAGTGGGGACACAGCAACACGTGCAGTAGCAGTGAGCACAGGTCACATACTGTGCCTGTAAGCGGCTTCTGTGGTGCCTTCTGCTGACTGCTGTCGATCATTGGGGCCCCACTCCAGGCGGACCCCACTATCCACCAGCGCCCAGTCTGCTCAGCATTCAGGACGCTGTCCCAGGACACACGCAGTTGAGATTCTGTGCCCGAGCCGGCACCGCGTATCTGCCGGAAGGAAAAAAAGCTGGTGAAAAGCTATACCTGGGCCAGTCTGCCCACCAACCCTCACCCCCCACCTTCTCTGTTTCTGATGATGGCATTTCTGCTGCATGCACACTGTGATGCACACTGACAGCTGGGATGTCACCATCTGGAATAATGCCAGGTATGAGGCATTCTCCCAGGATATGAGTCTGAGGCCTGTGGGTCCATCCCCCCAAATATGCTGTCTCTGGAAAGTCGCCACAGCAGGGGAAGAGGCTCGGGCTCAGAGGCCACAAGGGAAGCTGTTGGTGGTGGGAGCCATCTGGCTGGTGGTGGGAACGTGACCAAGAGGGGCCTGGGATCTGCTGGAGTCAGTGATTCTGGATCTGACTAAAGATAGGGCAGAGGACTCGCCCTGACTGGGGAGGGTAGTGGGTCTCAGCTGATATTAAAATACCTGGGGAGCCAATGCCTATGGTCCAGGTGGGGACCCTTCCAAAACGATCAGAAGGTTCTACTGTGATTCTGCTTCGCAGCCAAGTCCAGCACCACAGGCCAAGTGTAGGGATGCTTGACTCACGGGAACCCCTGCACACGGGTCACTCACTGGGTCTCACCACAGAAACAATTGCCATCCGATCCCCTGGAACTCTTACTGACCAGGCAGGGCACCTGAGTCAGCTCCAACCACCTTCCAGACTTTCATGGTGGTTCATGATGACACCGAGGTTCAAAAACAATTAGAAGTAGGAGTGACTCACCAAGGCTCTTTGCAATTTCCTTAGTTTCTCTACAGGCTCAGGGTCATAGCCCGGAATCTTTCGCATGTCATTGTTCTTCAGGGCCAACATCGTCTCCAGCATAAAGCGAATCTTAAAAGTAAAAACAAGAGAGAGAGGGATCCATCATTTCAAACTGTCTACACAACTGACCCTTCACTTTCGGAGCTCTGTGCACATGGCCATCACTGCAGGTAAACCAGAAGGTCTCGGGCAGACTGTCCCCAGCTAAGCATCTGCAGTATTTTAATATAAACCCGGCCTTGACCACTACCCACAGATCCTCCGTTCCCTCTCCAGCTCCCCTCCCAGCACTCTTTCTTCCAGGCCCTATGCTCTGAGTCACCCCTCCTCTCCACTACAGTTGCCATTCCTTCCTACTCCTGGCCTTTTTACCTTTTCAATTTTTAAATTGAAAATAATGTCATACTTAGAAAAAAGCTGCAAGAATAGTAGATTTCCCAGATAACTTTTTCTGAAGTTTCTCCAAACACTGACTTTTTGTTGACATAATTCACATACCATAAAACTCACCCATTTGAAGTGTGCACTTAGTCTATTCAGGGTTGTGCAACTATCTCTACAACTTAAAAACATTTTCACCAACCCCCCAAAAGAAGCTCCAAACACATGAACAGCCAGGCCCCGATTCCTCCAGCCCCCTTGCCTTAGGCAGCCAGGCGTGTGCTTCCTGTCTTTTCAGACATCTGTGGTTTAAACTTGACCTCTGGGCATTCAGCATGGGGGCAACTTCTCCAGAACACTCCGGCCTGGCTCCCTCGACCTTCCTCCTGCTCTTCCTCCCCCATGCATGACTATCGGTGCTCCGTAACCCTGAGGCTCCCACCTCATGGCCTTAGGAGCTCCTCAGGGGGCTCAGACCACACCTTGTCCCAGAGAACCCAGGGACCATCACTTCAGGATTTCAGAAACGAGCCAGTCTTCCCTGTTGGGCCTGTGTCTCCTCCTGGGTGTACTGCTGCCCACTAAAGGCCCAAGTTGAGAGCATGGACAGCCCCGCCCCCTCCCCTCCTCCATCCCATCCTTCCCTCCCGCAGCACCACACCTGGTCAGTCCTAACTCCTACACCCACGTCCACTTCAACTGAGCTAACCCTCCCCACCACCTCTGACCCCTACAGGGCATCTCCCCGCCTGACCACCTCCATCTTCTCCACTGTAGCCACAGTTACCACTAGCATGGTCACTTCCATGTCATTCCCCCACTCAGAGCCCTTCGGGAGCCTTCAGGATAAAAGCCCAAGTCTTTGCAACGGCCTCTGCCCTGCTCACCTGTGGGCCCCACATGAACCCTCTTCCTGCTCCTCACACCTCCCTAGGGGCTTCCCTCACCCTCCCATATCTCTGAATCTGCAGAACAGGAAATAGGTAGGAGCCATGATCAGCCCTGTTTTCTAGAAGGAGAAACTGAGGCTTGGAAGATTCGGGTCATGTCGCTGTCCAATGGCTGAGCCAGAACTCCAGGTGGGCTGGCACCTGAGCCCCAAGCCCATGGCCCTACCTCAGTAAGCACTTTCTGAACAGATGAGTGTTAAATAAATCGATCCTTAAACTCACAAAATACCCGAGTTCTTGGTAAAGAAACAAGGTTCATTCACATATTAAATATAAAACTATCCAATCACAGGAGCAGAAAAGATTACTAGGAAGTGAAATGTGATATTTACCCACACACTTATTTTATGTGCTGGCCAGTTTCTGAGCATTAGCACCTAGGAAGCAGGTTGAGTGACCCATCGTACCCTGGTCTGGTCCTGGAACTTGCCACCTGCCCCACTGGCTTTGGCCTGTGTCTCTGCGATCAGCTCCTTAAGTGACAAAGCATCGTCTTTTCTCAACGAAAAGCCCACATTTTTCAGCATTAACAGGATCAGTTCTATGTCTTTCTCTGTGAAAGTTCCAATAAGTTTTTTCAGAATGTCAAAGATGAGGAGAGACTGAACCACGTGGAAGTTGTACAAATGGGCGATGATGGTGAACAGGTTGTCACACTCTTTGCCTTCGCCTCCCTTTTTATAGACGTCGTCAAACTTCCTCACCACGGCCTCCAGAAAGTGAGCTCCAACCTGGAAAAGGAAACAGACCAAACATCATTGCAAAAAGGCAACAATCGTGCTGGCCAGTTACTCTCAGGGATCCTTCTTTTCAACAAACTTGAATGTTTACGTTGAAAGAGTCTGTGCTTTTAAAAATTAATGCATAAACATACACATGGTAGGGTGTATACTACAACAAGGCATACGCTTTAAAACCCCAAGTCTGAGTGCACAGTATTTATACATGAGACCACGGACTGGTGAACAACAGCACAGAGCATCCGCCACAGCACTCGACCCTCCCCGGTGAGTACACCCTCTCGTCTTCTAAATCAAGGTGGTTCCAGCAGCCATCCGGATCCTCGGAAAATGAAGACAATGTTAGAGACGTTCAGAAGGCATCCCGTCTGTCATGCTGCACCACTAACAGCGCTCGTTCTGAAGCACAGGCTGAGACTGGAGGAGGCAGAAGCAGGATGGTGCTGGTCTGGAGTGACACTGATGGTACAGTTGGGAAGTGAGACCTGCACAATCACAGCCAGGCCAGACCAGGGAAGAAAGACTGGGCACAAGAGAGACCTAGTGACATACCAGCAGGTGTGACCAGCCACTCAGCCACTGGATGTGAAAAATTAAGCTCTGGGGAACAGGAAACCTAGGAGGAAGAGCAGGTTAGCAGGGGCTGGTTAAAGTGTGGGTGCAGGTGAGCTCGATCAGACAGGTTAAGAGTATAACAGGCATCTGTCATTGCCAAAGTGCAAAAACTAAATGCTGGACTCCAGAGAAGGGCACAGATGGGCAGGAGGGAATGATAACCTCACAGAGGTTGTTTCTGAGAGACCGGGGATGATATTCCTTAGTTAATAAATAAATTTAAACTGTAAACTCCCCATTCGAGCCCCTTCACTAAAGATCGACCTGAAGAACACACTATGACCACAATATTATGTTCAAATACAACTTAAAAAAGAGAAATCAGAATCCTGCAGACATCAAGAAAAATTCAAGCATAAAATACACTCAGGTATGTTTTCAACACACAAATGTAATTACTTAATTAGACAAAAATTTCTCAAATTCTAAATCTATTAATGTCTTCAAAATAAAATATAACTTAGTATAGCATTTAAAAATAGCAACACCATTCATGTTGAAGTTATTTAAGACCATACATGAACTCTGACTTAAAATTTTAACACAAATATGCAGAGACCTGATGTCTGATTTCTAAATGACTCAGGAGCCACTTGGTGACTGATGCCATGGGCTTCATGGCACACTCTAGACGTTCCTGTCTCCACAGAACTGGAGTTTAATGGAGCTCACTGTTCTGGCACACGTTTCAGGGGATGCCATTAGCTGAAGCATCATAATGACTTCCCTGGAACAAGTCATTTCTGGTGTCCTTCATGCCATTAGTGAAGGTTTAGTGAGAAGTGGACCAATAACCTCACGTTTCCAAGTCCAGTGAATTCCTGACATGCTGTAGGTGGTGAGGGTCTATGGCTTTTACTACAACTCCATGAAATTCTGTCTAGGCAAAAACCATTTGGTTATAGGGGATCCTAGTCTGACACAGGAGGACTGGGGGGGGAGGGGGGGCTAGGAAAGCCCTGGAATAGCACCAAGCTGGGAACACAGGGCACAAGAAACAGCACCCATGACTCCATCACACTGCAGGGAAGAGCGGGACTCGGTGGCATGTGTGAGGATGAGTGTCGCTCTCAGGCATAAAATCCTTACTTCAGAAGACTGACGCCCTAAGCAGCTGATGCCTGCAGAGCCAGGAGTTGCAGAGCCAGGGGTCCTGGGGCCTGTGCCTGTCCTCTGTCCCCACCCCCAGTGCCCAGTATGTTCTACACTTTCCACCTGTCATACAAAAAGTAACCATAATGACCATAATGAGCACTTATCCAGGCTCCTGAATTAGACCTGTTCCTTCAAAAACCCTGGGATCAGCTCCATGGAGGGAGCAGATACTGACTGGGAAGGTCATGATCTCATCGTAGGGGCCTCCCTGATGCTAACCCAGAAAGAGGGTCATGGAGCAAGGACAAAGTGCAGAAGAGGTGCAGGCTGGGGACAAGTACATTTGGGGCCCCTACTAGGCACCAGCGTCATGCAGGAGCCCTACCTGCCGTCTGGCAGAGAGCCCCCCCTCCCCCAGGAAAAGCAGCCCCGCATGGACATGGCACCGAGGTCTGGGCTGCCTGCTGGCTCCAAGCCTAGGCCCTGTCACCGTCTCCTCACTGCAGGGCCAGCTTTACTCGGCATCCTGGTGGTGGTCTTACTTATGAAAAAATGGTCTTCCACCCAGTGCAAACACCTCGGTGGTAAGCCCACACCCCCTGGCACCTCTGAAAGTCTGAAATAAGTCAGCGTTCAAGAGGGAAACAACAGGAAGCAAGTCTGAGATGTCAGCGCAGAAGATAAACTAATAAATAACACAGACACGTTAGGATGGACTTAACACAAAGGCAACAGTTTACCACAATCAAGCATTTGCTGGATGTGGTTAGATGACACAGATGGAGCTGTGTTGGGCCGTCTCTGGCTGGGCACTAAAGCAACCACGGTTCAGACGCCGCTGCAGCCCCACCTCTGTCCCCACGGTGCGGTGCAGGATGCTGACAAGGAGCACGTGCTCCATCACCAGCCGACTGGGCATGGCCATGCCCGGAGCACAGGCGCTCACGAGGATGCCGGTCAGCGTGTCATTCATGTCCTTCCTGCTGTGGGCCATGTACAGCTCCTCCAGCTGCCCGCTTATGGAGGCCATGTTCGGCTCACTCAGCCTGCAGGCAGGAGTAGACAGAGAGGCAGCGACATTTCACATTAGGAAGTACTTTTTAGGTCAATTTAAAAAAAAGGAAAAGCTATCAATGCTGCCAATGTCCACGTCCTGCTTTATGTATATCCTGCCTCACAAACAATCCTTACCTTGCCCCAGTAACCCATCCTATGCTACGCAGGACAGTCCTCTGGAGCCCTGTGATACTGTAACTGCCATCTTCCCAGCTGGAATACAGCCACAGTGAGGGACACACAGAGTCCCCCTTAAGACCAGAGATGGAGCTATGGATGCTGCATGAATGCCCTGGCCCAATGCCCCAGGGAACGATCCTTGCACGTCAGTATGTGCCACTGGGAAAAATCCCAACTCCCCATTTTTCTGCTGACATAAAAATCTTGCACTCCTGCCCTGGCCAGTTTTGCTCAGTGGTTAGAGTGTCGGCCCACAGACTGAAGAGTTCCGGGTTCAATTTGGGCCAAGGTCGTGACCTCGGTTGCAGGTTCATCTCCGGCCCTAGTCTGGGTGCATGTGATCGACGTGTCTCTCTCACACCAATGTGTCCGTGTCCCCC